AGGTGGCAGAGAGGCTGCAGAGGGAGGTAGCCACTGCAGCTGCGGCCACAGCAGACCCCCCACAACTAGGACTAAGGGAGCCCCCCACTGACCACCAGGAGAGCCCCCACTGACCACCAGGGTAAGGTAAGGTAACAACATTCTTAGGGGACATTTTTATCTTTTTAAAGTATTTTTTAAAGTTTTTTCTGTCCCTGGGAACATAAAATAAACCATTTTACAAAAAAAATACTCACCTAATCCCTGGATCCACCAACAAGCGCAGCCTCCCGTCTCCCACGCTGTTAGAAACTGCATACAGCGTGTGCAACCCATGCAAAATGCGCAGCCGGCTTCCTCGCTGCGCTAATAGCATATCTTCTCAGAAGCTGCACACAGGTTTAAGTAGTAACCAGCATGCTCTGTATGCCGCTTCTGACAGCGTGGGTGATTATTAAAAAAAAAAAAGTTTATTTTATGTTCCTGGGGACATAATTTGTCTGGGGATGGTCTCCTCAATCCAGAAATTGGGGATGAATGTAGGGCATCTGATGGCAGATTTCCTTTAAAAGAGAAAACTATGTAGAGCATACTAATATAAGCTGTACAGTTCATGCAATTTTCCCTGCAAGGAGACGGCTCAGTCAAGCATGTTAATAGTAATCTTTGTAATAATCACTTTAATTACAGCCTCTGTGCAATGTGTCAGAATTACTTGATGAGTGGGGGAGAGGAATCAGCTCAGAGAGACAAGCCATACAATGATATATAGTGAGAGCTCATACATTGCCATTTTTATCCAATTACATTCCCTGAACCCCCAGTCTGATATATGCATGACATCTAGAAATGACTCTAGCTATTTAATATAGAGGGTTTGGAATTTCACTACAGCAGAAGTTTCAATAGCACATAAAAAAAGAGCTGCCAGTTTTAAAAAAAACCTGATTTGCTGCATCTCGCATCCAATATCTGCTCATTACAGATTTTGGCTTTGTGTTTCCCCCTGGGTAGTTTCTGCTACAGATAAGCTGCAGCAGTAGGAAGGAACGTGACAAGCCCCATCTTCTGTATCAGTTAAAGCATGTTTCAAGCCAAAGCTTTTTTTTTAGTTTTGGCTAGAGTAGAGAAAATTCAGAACCCTAAGCTTACCATCACAGAGAAAATGTTTCACCACACCACCTATAGTCTGTGTTGCAGGGAACAATGTAGCAGGTCCCAAAGGCACTTCAGTGAGAATAAGCATAATCAGATGTCTGATAGACCACACCATAGCCTGGTAACAAAGGTTAGAACTTGCATTTTAATGTGGGCAACCACAACACACATTAAAGTGAATATATGCAATGCCATTAATTCTGAATGACACCATAATGCACATATACCATACAAACTGTTACAACTGAGCTACAGCGCAGAGAAATGCACAGATGTGAGCAATTTGTATGTTGTTCTGTGCTACACTGACCAAAAGGTAGTCTTTTTCATGAATGAAGGCTCATTAGGGAGCCAACTCCAAGCAAATGGTTTGCCATTGTGTTGACGCATGAAGAGTGCCCGTTAACACAGCCTTAAAGAAAACCTCTACTGAATGTAGAGACTGTCATTGCTGACCTCTCCTGAAAAAAACATGTTTGCCTGGTTATCTTTCTGATCCAGTGCCCTTATTTTTTTATAAGTCACTGACCTGTGACAAGTCTGTAGATCAGAAGTTCTGACTGTGCTCTGAAGTTCCAATCTGCATGTTTGTGTCAGGTCAATGACTTAGAATGTACTGAAGCTAGAGACAGCCAGGCAGCTAGTATTAGAAGATTACTAATGGTGGCCCAAATATTTCTGTCCATGCAGGTGTCCTTTAACACTCCTTTCATAAATAAATGGAATCCATTTATTTTGTGACACTTGCATGATAAATATTATAGCTGCAGCAGGGAAATCTTGGTTTGTTACAGAATCATGTTATTATATGTCTCCTGTCTTTAGCTTTTATATAGGAAAGGGAAAGATAAATGAAGAATAAATGACACAGGGAGGAAAATATTTTTGTTGGCATTAGATGCTTCAGAATTGATAAATGACTCATTATTTGGTCATTTGTCTTTCACACAAGGTTCAGACCAAAACAGTGCTAAATGCACTTTATGTTATACTGAATATATTAGATTTCTTGTGTACAAGCGCATTCTAGCATCGGTAAGTCTGAATATTAGTGATGGAGAATACAATCTCCTCCTTCTTGAAATAGGAAAGAGGACCATCTTATAGCTCTAAGCATCTTAGGGTAAATATACTATATATTCCTCCAACAATAATTCCATTATTCCCAGAAGAAGATGAAAGACTCATCTGTGCACATGCAGTAATGTGGATTTCTAATTCATGGATTGTGGTATCAAATTCACTTACACATTTTATACAATGGATACATTTATTATATGGCACACATGGGCCTAAGGCAGCATAGATAGTGGAGACAGCACCAAACCTCATGTTTGGTGATAACGTGTTCCTTATTCCGTGTCACGCTTTTGTACACCATGGACATCTGTGTAAGGTTTGTACCTTTTTTTTTAGATAAACCCTTGTTTAGCCATGTTAGCATAATTGAGAATACTAAAAACATACAACCTTAAACCCACCACATCAACAGTATGCCATCATATTTGTGTAGCCCTGTTTTGGGGGGAGGGGGTCATATGAGATGACCGTCTCCGATCAGCTACCGCTACCAACCTGTGGGTAACTTGAAAATCCTGAGCCTCCGCTAAGTGGGAGTAAGGGACTGTAACATAACTGTAATGGCAGTGCCTCCACCCAACTGGGCCCTGTGGTTACAAGGGGGACCCCCAGATGAGATAACCTTGTCCCCAGGTGTAATTGCTGACATGAACCATCTTGCAGAAGTAAGCAGATCTTGAGTCCATGGATGTCTTTTATATATTTATGGTAGAACGTGGAACAGAAGATGTGTATAGATATGCTGGAATACCCAAAAATGCTGATAGTCGAATATTATCACCTCTTACAAGGTGTACAGTTCCTAGTGAAAGGTCCATCTTCTCACTCTTAATAGGCCAGAAGTGTCTCCATTCCCACAGAGGTTCCAGTGTGTACTCTGCTTCAGGACAGACTGTAGCCTGGACCAGTGGAGGTTCCTGTGGTTACTCCAGTGTCCCCATGATCTCTGTTAACATGGGTGAATTACATCCTTGTAATTGATCCTTGTAATTGATCCAGCATAGTCAATCTAGCACATGGCATTCCATGAGGGTAGGCCTTGAGGGCCTAGCCCTCAGGCCTGGGCAGCAGCCCAGAATCTAAGCACCAACCTCCCTACAGGGGAGTGCCAGGAACAAGAGAACCCCAGTTCTGAGCATGCTCATGGGTTTTGCAATAGCCAACCCCTCCTACTATGATGCTTACTGCAACGATTGGCTAGCACAGTGATGGCGAACGTTTTTGAACCCGAGTGCCCAAACTGCGACGCAAAATCAATTTATTTATCTCAAAGTGCCAGCGCTGAAAATAAGTATAGTATTGTATTGCAGTTTGGGCGCTGGGCTTTAAAAAACATTCAACATCACTGCCTTACACATACTACTACACATACATAGATATCACACATTAAAAACACACGCACACATCGCACACGTAATGAAACACACACATTAAAACACACATTATAACACACACATCAAAAAACACACATTAAAAAAAATATTTTACATTTATTTTACATTTTTTTAACTCTTGGGGGGGGGCTTTGGGAAATATTAGAGGTTTAAACAGCCCCCTGATATTTCCTTTTTAAAATAGAAAAAGAAATTGAGGACACAAAGTCCTCAATCTCTTCTTTTGCAGCCTCTGTTCTAAATGAATGGAAAGCACAGAGGCTTCCCATTCATTAAGAAAATATTTACTATCAAGCAGTTTCTGAATGGGCAGGAGCCTCCGCACATAGGTGACTCATGATTACACCCTACTGGCGGAAAACAATAGGTACATCAAAAACCGAATAACACTGCTCTATTACAGGGAGTGTTAGGGGGTAGACCCCTACATTTGTTTCTTGTTTTCAACAGTCATATTAGGACATATATGACCATTGTCCATACAGCAATTTCGTGAGCATTAGGTACAAATAATGTAAGCCTATTTATGAGTATCATCAGTGTTCACATACAATCAGCATTGCACACAGGGTCCTGTATACTATATAGGCAGTATATGTATCTTCTATTAAAGTTTCATATATTCAGTATACTTACATGTTGGTGTTTGCAGTTGAGGTCAACCAGTCTGCTGCCATCCCAACCATGTCCAGACCAGTTGAGAGTTGGTTAAAATATCTTGGATGTCCTAAGAAACAAACAAAAAAAAAAAGATAATTAATAACATTACATAAATTGTTGTAATGTTAGATACTTTGCACCGCTCGAGGTAGAACAGCCAGGTCCTGGACCTGTATGCTAGGTCTGTATATAATAATAATATTTATAGCCATCTAGATCAGTGGTTCTCAACCTGTGTAACCTCAGGACCCACATTTGTCCTTGGTCATGAAGTCGCGACCCAAGTCGCACCGCATTGGAACGCACGGCATTGAGGTACCGCACGTTCCGATGCGGGCAATCAAACTGTGTACAGGAGATGCGTTTGGGGTGCCGTTCAAATGAATGGCAATGCAACACAACTCCCACACCAGAATTTGCGGTAGGTGCGATTTTTGCGTGGTACAATGCAGTAATCGCAAAAAAAGCCTGCTGTAATTGGCTCAGCGCTGAGCCAATCACGGCAGGCTTTCTATCCATTAATACAAGCCTGCCGTGATTGCGCCGCGACCCGTGATGCTGCCGTGATGGCGACACGTGATGCTGCCGTGATTGCGACCCGTGATTGCCGTGATGGCGCCGCGACCCACTGCAGAAGGGCTCGCGACCCACTATTGGATCGCGACCCATGAGTTGAGAACCACTGATCTAGATGACTCCCATCATTATATAATTCTCCACCTCTAGTGATGTTATTTAAGAAAGCAAAAAGGAAATGAGGAGCAAACATAGGAAGATATACAGTGCATTAAGCAAAGAATAAACAGGACTGTCTAGTACCCTGGTGCCCAACCTGCGGGCCCATCAGTCAGTAGTCTGAGCAATGATTTGTAAAGGGTTCTTTAACAGCAGTGATCACAGGAAATCCCATATAATATTTATCCAGTCTCTAACTGTCTCCTACAGCCTTTGTTCCCAACTGGTTGGTCGCAACCCCGTGTTCAGTGGGTTGCCGCGAGCCTTCCACTTTTCTAGGTGAGAGGCTCCTCAGCCTCCCCACAGAGCAGCACTGTCAGTTCTTACACCGAGCAGCCATTCAAAATATGCTGCCCGGTGGCCAGTGTCAGCTTGAGGTGGGGGTGGGCTGGGGGTATGGCCGCGAGGGAGCTCCATCCATAAATGCATTGCTTACAGCTCCCTCACATGTCCTATAGAGCTGCCTGGACTGGTAACGTCACATTCTGGCTCCCAGCACCTCTACAGGCGCACATGTGAGCTGTACAAGCAATGCACAGATGGATGGGCACGCTGCTGTGCGTTCCATTGCAGTGCGACTTGGGTCGTGACTTAATGACCGAGGACAAATGTGGGTCCTGAGGTTACACAGGTTGAGAACCATCATGATTCCACTGTTCAACAACGCCTGTAGCACAGTTTTTGATCATTCCCTCCAGTAAACAGTAAGTGTTCCGTGAATGTAGATATACTGTATATATATATATATATATCTTCAGTAGAATTGTCAGGGACCAGTTTTGAAGCCCTCTATTCCTTGTAAGGTGGTGTAGTAAAATGCAGGATACTTGAAAACGATACAGAGAAAAGGGCTGGATCAGGTCCCTGATGAATGTGCAGAATCATGAAAGATTTGTTCATCATGTGGGTGAGAGTGGTAAAAAGCAGGTGACATCTTGGATTTTGGGGTGTGTTGACATTACTGTATTTGTTGCTCCTCATTGGGTCATCTTTTTATGGATGATCTCTCTAAATTTCAGTGATGTGACTTTTCTGAAGCCCACACACTCTTTCACCAATTGTTACCAAAGAGGGCCTATGTGCAGGGGCTATATTGATGTAGCAACTACCTGCTGCCATAGAGATCCTGATGTCTACCTTTGAAAGCTCAAGGGTTGTCACCCATTTTTTTTTAGCACATAAGGTATAAGCTACTTTCAAGCAAAATATTCAGAGTCAAAGGCAGAAGAAATTGTGTTGAATATTAAAATAGAAACTACCTAAGTGAGCAATCTGGTGAGTATAGGTAATCATATTAACAATAGTGTTTTTTTCCTACTATAAAGAATTTATGACAATATAATTTTAATATTATATAAAAAAAAGTTGTGCACCATTTCCTTATAGGCTAAGAATTTGTTTTTTTTAAGGTTGACATCTCTGTGAATGATAGTGGAGCCGCCAAAGATGGCAAAAAGCTTTTCAGTGGAATAAAGTTTCCACAAGATGCCTGTGGCTTGCAAGCTGAGATGGATGTACTGGGAAAGGTGGGGTATATCTGGGGGAGTCAATGATAGAGATTGATCTGTATGTTTTGGTAGATCACAGACATAATAACAGCATGCAATGACAATTTGCAGCTTCTAGAGCAATCTATTTTGAATATTCAGGTCAATTTTGGCACCAATTCCCGATAAGGATATTGTGGAACTGGAGAGAGTGCACAGAAGGGCAGTTGAATTAATTAAAAGGGGCATGAAGGAGCTTAGCCACGAGGAGATGACTGAAATTATTCTACCTTGAGAAGAGGCGCTCAACGAGAGATACAATCAATTTGTAAAAATACATATATCTTGATGCAAAGTTATTCACCATGAGGTCATTGCAAATGTCAAGGGGGCACCCTTTGCACCCAGCGGAAAATAGTTTGAACCTCCACATACTGAAAGTCTTATTTACTGCAGGAGCCGTATCGTGGAACTTACTTCCACTAAAAGCTAGTTGTAAATAATGTAACTTATGCCAGGAGCTGATTTGTTCCACAGAAACCAAAAGCTTTTCCAAGCTGTCCAGGCAATAGACTAATTTCACCAGGATAAGGATACTTATGTTCAAACGGTGGCAGTTATTGTTTAGCTGAGTCCAATGAGATTTGAAAACGACAGTCAGATTACTAAAAAAAAGATCCTTATCCTTGTGATAAAGCTTTGTGAGTTGAGCCTATTGTCTCAATGATTGGTGCTTATGTGCGGCAATCTCTTTATGTGCATGCACATGAAGATTGTCACATAATTGCATCACAATCTTTGAAATGTGCCATGGTTTGACACTTTTTGGTTAAATTTAGACACCATGCAAAGCCTAATAGACCAGTGTTTCTCAACCTTTCAGTCACGGCACCATTTAAAAGTATACAAAATATCGAGTCACCGCAGTCTAAAATGTAATGGAGTTTAAAGGGGGCATTCACAAATACATAAAAAAGTGCAGTTCCCCCTTTACATCAGGAGCCCCCTTTCATATCAGAGTGCTTCTTTTGCACCAGGAGCCCCCTTCACATCAGTGTCCCCCCTTTAAATCAGAGCACCCCTTTTATCTCTGAGTTCCCCCTTTTCACATCAGAATTTCCCCTTCAGATCAGCCCTCTTCACATCAGATTCCTCCATTCCCCTAGTCCTACCATCACAACATTTTTATGTACCCCTAAGGAAGCCAGAGGGCACATGAGGGTACCACGGCACCCTGGTTGAGAAAGACTGCCATAGACATTGTTATAGGCAACATTTATGTTTTACACCATGAGTAAAAAAATGCATGCAAAATGGTCCTTTAGCTTAAAATTGTATTTTTAGGAAGAAGCGAGCAGTCTTGTGTTTTGTATAAACAGAACAGCTTCCGCCTGCTCGCGGTGCTGAAACCCCCAGGCAAATGATAAGATATCACTCTGGGACTTGTTCATAATGAGCCATTTAAATTCACAGTTTTTAATTGCTTCCAGTGTGTTCGCTAACTGGAAGTCAAATCGCAGAAAAGAGATTCTTTCCGGAATAAACGGGCCTGGAAATTTGCCATCAGCCATTATTTTCATGGCATTAATGTTGATTCCTAACTCTGTTTATTTAGAATCACAATAGGACATTTATAATCTGCTTTTGTGTACGAAGTGGCTGGTTATTACCATCTAGGCGTCGGCGACATGTCCAAGACATCAGCAACAGACATTCAAAATCCTGCAATCTTATTTTCTTTTCATTCTGCCCATTGTGTATAATTATTATTCATTCATCTTCAAAGTTTAGAAGCATGCTACAATCCCGATTAAAGATACACAGGAACTGAACTGAAGTTTGCCATTGTGAAGTTTATTGTGTGCTTCTCAAGCCTTGTGTAGACTGGGATTCCTGTCAAATGCTGGCTTTTCAATTTAAAGGGATGCTACAATCTACTCTCCCTTACAGCCAAGGAAGGTGCCATCTTTGCCTCCATTTGGATTGTAGTTGCCATGGTGTTACACATGTGATCAGCTATGGCATGAATGAGTAATTTAGGCCAGGTTCACACCTGGGCGATCCTTGACCACGCGTTTACGGAGTCGCCCACCACCGATGATCGCGCTGGTGGTGCCATTATTGTCGAATGGCTCCCCAGTCGCACTGGGCGGAATGCGCGGTCTCCCGCTACGATTCCGCCCATGCAACCGAACATGATCGCGGCTAAGGCAGCCATGCGTCTTGCGTCACAAAATGTACCCTTTTTCTGCAATTGCCACATGGATGCAACCCCATTTAAATCAATGGGGCCACGCGGCAATCGCTGTGTGCAATTGTGCAAGACCGCACGGTCCCGGGACGTGCGTCCTGGATCGCCTAGGTCTGCACCGGCCCTTAAGGGCTTGATAGTTCAGTTGAGAGCTGAACTACGCACACTGCCCACTTTAACAGTTGGTATGCCTTGATAGTAACTGTTTTGGCAAACATTTTTGTTTCGGGAGATATTAAATTGATGGGTGCAGTTCCTTATTTGAGCAGCGATGCTCAAATGAATGCATTAAAAAGTGAAGCACAGCAAAAGGCTGGATTTAACCTGCTGCGCCTTGAATGCAAACCAATATTAATAGGACATTAGGCGACCAAATAAAAGCAATGCAAACCAGGTCAAAAGCAACCTTAGTACTGTCATCTACACTGCACCATTGAGGCCAATGATAATCTGCTGAACAAATGCATGTAAAACACAGGCTTCCATGTACCTTAAAGAGGAACTTTACCCATATCTTGGAAATGACAACAAATACACCTTTAGAAATGTTTAGTAATGGCAATCTACAAACACATACTTATCGATAATTTTTTC